ATTCATTCATTTATTCATTTATTTATTTATCAATTTATCTGTCAATCCACCACCCATATTTCTTTCTGTCTATCTCTCTTTCTCTCTCTCTCTTCTTCCATCTATCTATCTAATGTAACCCAACCCCTTCTCTCTATCTCTCTATCTATTTGTTTGCCTGTCTATCTGTCTGTCTGTCGATGTATCTGTCTGCCTATCTCTCTAGGGCTCTGTCTAATTCCCTATCATTCATCTATCCGTCTAATTATCCGTCTATCGTTGGAACTAGTTGGAACTATCTATCTGTCCATCTATTGATTTATCTTTCCGTTCAAGCCCGTCCAGCACGTGGAGACCGTCAGGCCCGTCAGGCCCGTCGAGCCCGCTAACCTGTTAGACTGAGTCCGCCCCACTCGCGAAGCGCGTCAGGCCCGTCAAACCCGTTAGGCCCGTCAAGCCCGTGAAGCCGTTGCGAACAGTCACCATCAAGATGTCCACCTCCCAACCTTCCTCATAGCCTAACCCACCCTGGAAGGTTTTGGGCCAGCGGCTTACCAAAAGCAAGCGGTACTTGGAGCGGGCGACCCGTGGGCCGAAGCAGGTGAAAAGATGGGTTGAACTGAGGAGCTGAAAAGAGGCACGACGACTCATGCATCGCCTCGACCACTCCCAGCAGGGTGGCAGACTGCATCGCCTTGATGGAGGAGTCTTCGTCGACTGGACTCAGAAATTTGAATTCAGAACACGTCAACTGCCAGCTCTGGCGATTCCAGGGGATGTAGCAATTGAAAGGGTGGAAATACGGGATCGCATTGCCCGAGTCCCTGAAAGGGTTGACAGCCAACCTGTTTGAGCATGTGCAAACACCTGTTTTGGCTGCCCTTCAAAAGCGACATCTGGCCCTTCAAAAACATTTTCCCAACCCGCCTGAAATGGCTATGCCAATAAGCCACCCATGCCTGGAAGGTGTCCGGGAGCTTGCAATTCGGTTCTCCAGGAAGGGCGTGCATGGCGTGAACGACTGCGTGATATTGGGGCCCTCCGCCGTTGGCGCAATGCCTGAGTTGAAGAAGGGCCTCTGAAACTCGAACCCTGCCGATAATTCCGAACGCAATGGGAATCAAGAATTAGTTAACACCCCTGATTGACCTCGCGAATATGCAACTTTCCTTGCCCAACCTGGGCGTCCCAAATCTGGAACTCACTTTGGATGGAGTAGAACGGAAATCCACAAGTACATCTTCGTCATTTGAAGGGGGTCAGATCCTACCTTACCAACATCCCACGTTTCGTGAGAGGGGGTCAAGAAATGAAGTCCAAAGGTCGGAATCCCTCCCCCCCCCACCCTGCAATTCCATTTGGGTGCCAAAAACACGAACACAATGAAAACAAAACAGTAGTCATGGGCTCCCTTTAAAACCAACAGGGGAAAACAATGCATATGTTCTCGCAAATGGATGGAAGCCCCTGGGGTGTTTCAAAGAGAAATCGGGCACCAGTCACCTTCCAGAGGGTCCCACTAGGAGACATCAAGGGATTTCTGACCTGACTGGCCAACAAAAAGATGCTTCCCTCTAACTGGTGGTTTGGGTTGGTGGTTTGGAGATTAGGGCATGGACCACTGCTCTTTGAACGGGGAGTTTGAGTTTGGGCTTTGAATCCGAAGTTGGAGGACGCTGGACCTGGGTTTGAGTCTAGATTTCGCCGTTATCAGCAAATGGGCGTGAGGGGGGGGGATCCTATGCACTCCCTCTTCTGGGCATGTCTCGGACTCAGAGTGTCGCAAAGTGCCGAGGCCTTCAATGCGGTTTTGTCTTGTGGACCCAAACCTTTTGAGGTTGGGGCGCCTTTTGTGCACATCAGCTGGGCGTAAGTCAGCCTTGCGACTAAGACTTGCAGAGCACAAAAAAACCGGTTAAGGGATTGGTTCCAACTCGCTTCCTGCCTGCCCTATACTTCCCGGGCACCGAACCGGCCAGCTGCTATGGGTTTGTGTCAAAATACGTGGACAATTTCCACTTGGGTATCCCTCTCAGCCGGAGTGAACTTTGAAGGTGTATAGAAAAAAATATATGTATATATATATATATATACATATCTCTCTCTCTTTCTCTCTCTCTCGCCTTCCGGAAGCCGGGGCACTTGTACTGGGACAGCACATGGTCGCGGGGCCGACGCACCATGACAGCACTCTGCTCGAAATGGCCTTTGAGGAAGTAGGAAAGGCACACCTCCTCGCTCCAGATGTTCGCCTTGGGCCAGTCATAGCTGATTCTCCTACCAACGAACTTGTGCTGCCACAACGGGGTTAGTTGAAAGGGAAAGCCCATAGAAACCCACCATTTACATTCGGGTAACCCTCAGTTGGTGGCTTTCAGGTGTTGAAAACATAGATGGCTTAGGTAAATGGTTTGCAACCTACACCCGGGCTAACTATGTTCAACCAAAACTGACCGAAGGACAACAAAAGTATGCGGATGGCACCAACCGGGGTGGACGACAAAAAAATGAACCCTGCCATGCTCACAGACTTCAAACAGAGAGAGACAACCAAGCAACCTCCCCACGTCAGGTCAGTGACTCATCTGCAAATGTTGCAATCATTCACACAGCGGAAAAGGAATCCTGAAGTAACAATGCAGCCGGCCCCCCAAGAGTGCCAATGCTTTTGTTGTTTGACTTGAGGCTGTGCTTTTGTTGGGGGTAAATTTGTGGGGGGCTCCTTTGGCCAGTCTGAGACACAAAACGGGCGCCACTCGCTCTGAGCTGAGTCTCTCGGCCGACGATTTCTGTGAGGTACTGCACTGTCGTGCACCCGGCAACTTTGGACGAGTGTAGATGGAAGACCTGCCCCGAATCTCAGGATGTGGTTCTTGTGAAACGGTGGTGCCCTGTTTCGGGTTCATGTGGCCATGGGTCAAAATCCTGTACCCCCAGTGAACATCCCAATCCACACTAAAACAGACTAAAATGGGTGGTGCACCTAGCCCAAAAAAAGAGAGGCACCATTGGTTTTGACCCACGGCCATATACACGAACAAGGAAACCAGCCATTTCGAAAGTTCCCCTCAGACCCATTGTTTCAAAAATCCAAAGGTGCTGACGAGCGATGAGAAACAAGCGTTTCACTAGTAGCGGGGATCTCATTTCAACCAATACCTGAAGCACCTCCTGTGGATGCACAAATTCCTGCACCACTTTTGAAACCTTGGAAAGCCGTGTTGGTTGGCATGTACAGGGGTATCATTCCAGGGTTTCTTAGGTGGTGCGAAATGGACTTCGTCCATCCACAGCATTACACCTCAGAAAGGAATCAACTACACTCAGGGCAACTTTGCCAGAAACACAGCTTCACAAAGGCCGGTGACTAAGCATGTTAACCAGGATGACTCCTTAGCGTCATGAGCTGAATGTACATGTCGATGAATATGGACCCCTTGTATGAAGCTCTAGCTTGTTACTTGATCAATCATTCATTGTGGCTAAATTCTGGGAAGCCAGACCCAAAGCAGGCCATGGGCTCATGCGTGGGTGTGTACAATCATCCTTTGATTGCTAAGCTGGACGAGGAAATGCATCTTGCAGATTCTTGCAACTTTTGCAAACATCAAGAACCCACAGACAGTTGGGAAACAGCAATCCGTCCTACATACCCTACATTAGCAATCAAGAAAGGAGAGCGAAAAACTGATCGGGAACAAAATCAGATACCCAACCTGCACTGCTAAGACCCACCCCGAAGACCTGGACCACATTTGGCTTACAGAGAAAACAATACTTTCTAATTCTGCTTCATGCTTTAACCCAGTGCGTCTCAGTGCCTCTAGAAGTAAACTTGTTTGCTCTTGGTTGAAAGGCTGCACGCGACGCCGGCCTTTGCAGTTGCATCCTTCGCATCTGAGACATTCCTGCGGCAAAAAAACAAAAAGGAGAAAAAGACACGCGGGCAGCGACAACTGCAGAGGGCCCAGACCCCTCTCACAATACTCGATTAGAATCACCCAAGACTTGCCCCCAAAACACACGCAACAAAAGGATCGAAACTCATGGGCCAAGTCAACAAGGTCGATTTTGGAGTGAGCCGCAAAAACAAATTCACAAGGTCAACAGGTCAGCTGGCCATCTGCAAATTCTCAAAGTCCAACCTGAAACCAATGGGCGGAACTCTTCCCATTTGGCCAGTGGGAAAAGCTGAATTTATTCAAGATGTCAAGAGGCTGGCGACTTGTCCAACTGGTTGCTCCCCACTTTTCCAAGGTCAAAGACATCAGACCAAAAAGGAAGCCAACACGCCTTAGGCGTTCAGAAACAGTCGTGCGAGTGTGCGCGCGCGCGTGTATGTCTATGTTGCACTACCGTCTTCCTAGAAACCAGACAGTTTAGAAACGCAGGGAGTGAGTGCAACTGACCAGGACTCTTGGAAACTGCTTTTCAGATGAAAACCCAGCTGATGAGTTTACTCCTGCATCATGTTACTTTGGGAGGAGCAACCTCTCAGTGCATTGGCAAGAGCGTTGGCAAGTGCGTTCAAGATGATAACACAGGATCTAGAAACTGCCGTCTCACGCTTACTAGGGGGGAGCAACCTCACAATGTTGGAAAATGCTTCTTCTTTTTATGACGGCGGGAGCAACCTCCCAGTGCATTCTGCCAACTGCCTTTCAAATGAGCCCGGCTGATCAAAAAGCCGCGGGTAACTTTGCTTGGGGAGGCAACCTCCAAACGAATTGAACAATGCCTTTCAAGTGAAAACCCAGCTGATCAATCAATCCCTGGTTCAATTTGATTGTGGGAGCAACCTCCCAGTGCACTCATAACCTGAAAGCCCAGCCCAGTTGATCAATAAACCTTGGCTCATGCTGATTGGGGGGTCAACCTCCCAATTCACTCCAAACTGCCTTTCAAATGAACACCCCGTTGATCAATGAACGCCTGGTTCAATTTGAGCAACCTCCAGTGTGATCAATAAACCTTGGTTCACTTTGTTTGGGTGAGCAACCTCCAAAAGCACTGACAACTGCCATTTAATGAAAGCCAAGCTGATCAATGAACCCATGGTTCAATTTGATTGGGGGGGGAGGCGGGGCAGCAACCCTTCCAGTGCATTGGCAACCGCCTTTCATTTTGATTGGAAAGCTCCCAGTACCCTTTCAAAAGATCAATAAGCCTTGACTGATTTTGCTTGGGTCAAAACAACGGATCCCATCAAGCCAAGCGTCCAGCAGTCTTTCATTAGATCCACCTCCTTCCTCAGCCCCAGCTGCAGAAACTTCACGTCCGCCTGGAGTGAACCATCTTGCCCAAATGCAGAAGGTCCCGAACAGACTCTGGAACCGGGTGAGGAAACTTTGGGTTCAACCCCAACACGTCAGTCACAGGGAGGTGGGTCCCAATGGATCTGAAGAAACTTTGCAGATGCTCTGGCGCGAAAACATGAACCATTTCTTTGCGCAGCTTCCCCTAATGGTTTGGTTTTGGTAGTTTGGGGGTTAGGGGGTGGTTTACTATCCACCCTCGTCCGCCCAGGCGCAAGCTGAGGTGTGGCCCGTTAAACATGTAGGGAAATTGGCTCACAGAACCCGGCTTCTAGATGGGGATTTGGGCCATTTAGTGGTGTAGGTACTTCTAACCTCAGCGTGTTGATTCTACTGTGCGTTGTGTAAAACTGTTGGGATTTACAGGTGAAGTTTGTGCGAACACAAATCGATTGACAATTGCATCGTCTTGTAGGCAGGTATGTTAGATTCACGATTTGGACTGCAATTGGCTCAAGTTGGCCTAAAATAAACCAATACTTGAGAATTCGGGACCTAAATTTGTGCGTTTAGTTCTACATGACTAAGAATCGCATCTGAATTCCAATCACATGGCCGGCAATGCAAATTTCCAAACATCTCAGGCAACATTCATTTCGGAGGTTTATCCAAGATAACTTGTCCATTTTCTCCTGAAAACCGTTCCGCTGCATCCAATGAAAATCTAAAGTTCAAGTTGCTGCTGGCTTTCGTTCAGCTTATGGGGGTGAGCTTTCCGGACGAATTGGAGCTGCCTCGGGCCACGAGAAAAAACATTCTGGAGGCTTGAAGCGGGGATAGTGTCTGCCCTTCTGCGAACACAACTGTTGAAATTTGCAATACCAAAGCGACGAAAAAACTAGTTTTTAGCACAATGCCCATTTTTGAAGAGCACCCTTGTGGTGCCCTTTTGCCTTTAAAGCCCCTGTGTTCCGATTTCATTACACGATTGTTTTTGTGTGTTGATTTTTGGTTCCGCCTCCAACCCACATTCGCCATCAATCTGGATTCCGGATTCCGCCGCGACCGCGCTGGAGACAAAGAAACTTATAAGGAGGCTCAGCATCGCGAATGGAGTATAGGGTGGTTCAGCATGGCCCATGGGGTTCTTGAGCCAGCTGCAAGTTCCATCAAAACATGTCCAAACTGTCCAAACCAACATGGCGCCGCCCGTAGAACTGCCGGACAAAGGGCAACAACTTGGGCGCGGCGGGGCGCAGCTGAAAAAGAAGGTTGCCCTGCTCGCCGTATTGTAGGCGGACCGCCCTTCGAGCGGCAGGACTGCGGAGTCAGCGACGGCGCGCGGCAAAAATGCATCCGTGCCCGCTTGGGCTTGGAGCGTGAGAATAGGGTGAACTCGCCGCATGGCACCTCCGCAAAATCTGGCCAAGTGCACCTCAAACTAGGCACACCGCCCATAGTAGCCCGTTTAATATCGTGCGATTTTTGGCTTCGGAGCAATCTGTCGAAGCTGCCTCACGTGAATGCGCCGAGACAGTTGGGAATTTCTTGCGTTCCCAAATCCCACTGGCACGCTTTCAGCCCCCAACTATCGTGTGTCAAGGATTTTGCAATGTTCCAGACCGCATGTTGCCTGGGAACCGCATGATGAATTCTCTTTTAAAAACCAACCCGGGTGGAGGGGTCCTTAGTCTGAAGAACTCACCCAAAGGATAATTCCCCCAAATCTTTGTCGGTGTTCAGTTGCAGGCAACACAGGGTTGCCCCCTTTGCCTTTAGGCTCTGCCTTGTGCGCGTGAGGGCGTGCTTCGGATCCTTTTGGTGACCGCGCCGCCTGCGGTCTGGAGCCCTTCGCGCCCGGTGGGCCTCTTGAGCGAGCCGCAGGTTGCCGCTCTGGGCGCGGCGCTGCCCTCCGCCAGGCCCGGCGCACTTACCGGGAGTTGCTCTCTTCCAGGTCGCTGGATGGTGGAGCTTAATGGGGCCTTGCTTTTGTACCCTTTCGGGGGGTGGTTTAAAGAGTTTTTTTTTTTCAAACGCCTCTTACGACAGCCGGAGGGTGACACGAACGAACCAGCTACGGCCACGCCGCCAGGCACGTGGAACGCGTCGCCGCCAGGCCCCCCAAAGGGGAGCTCGAGCAGGCTGGCGCCAAATGCGCCCGATCGCGAGCAGTTGGCCCCAGCGGCGTGCGAACGCCCCGGCCGCAGCGGCTGGCAGCGGCTCTTCCACACGCCAAACGGGCGAGGGCGAGCTCCGAGTAGTAGGT